AAAAAAACGTCCACCCAATAAAAGACAACTTATTGAAGCTATAATTGATTCTTGGCACCATGTGATTACGAAAGAGGAACTCCAAACACTCATTCACTCGATGAAAAGACGCTGTGAAGCTGTCTTTAAAAATAAGGGCTATCCTACCAAGTATTGATTGTGTAAGTATCACTTTAAAAAAATGCAAATCTAAGATTGATCTTATTATAAATTGCATAACTTTTTTTGTAATACAGATATTGTAATACTGTATTTATTATTAAATTCTACATTAAATTACCTTCAATTTGATATATAAACGTTTGTATTTAAGTGAAAATTAATATATTCTACAAGCACACAAAGTTGAAAAACATGAAACTTTCAAAAACTGTCCACATTTTTGGCCACCACTGTAGTATTCTAAGAAAATATTTCTACTTTTACATACATTATGTATGCATTCTCATCATTATTAAATCATAATTTTTTTGTAAATAAATAATTGATCAATTTATATTTATTCATAAAATTAATTAATAGAATATTACATTAAAAAAAATCTTTGGCTATTTTTTAAATAAAATATTATAAATTTAAGAATTATTTAAGTTTACTTAATACGTAACACATTAAAAGTGATACATGACTAAGTTGTGTTATTTAAAGTATGTCAATTAAAATTATTAAAGATGTGAGTGATTTTATTTCCCTTATTCGTCCGAAATGAATATTCTGTGTTCAGCAGTATAGGCTAAATACCAAAGACTTATATGTTGCATCTCTAATTTAGTAGCAGCAATTGCTGAGCAGAATCTTGTATCTATTTACAGTTTAAAAACTTCTTGAAAAAGTTTTTAGCAATTTTTGTACTAACAGGACTCTATCTGCGCAAATTCGCAAAAACAGGACCAGTGGAAAGAATGTGACTTAACACTTATTTTATATTCACAAATTATGAATAGTTTTTTCACAATTTTATAAAAACAGAACCTTTCACAAAATGTTTGGACAGATGTGGTTTTATTTCCTGATGTGGCTTTATATTACTTAAAAAAATACTAATTTGGTGACATAGAGCAGCTGTGCTACCACACCCATGCTGATCATTGAGTTTATTTGGCATAACGTATAAACAATAATTAAGTATCTCAGAACGTGCAATGAACTTGTATTTAATTAATGAAGACAAGCAAGCATGACTGAAACTGTCTGTTAATTCATTTATATCAGTGGCACTGGTTCTAAACCAATGGGAAAATTCCATTTTTTAAATGTCTTTCTTGAACAATTTAATTGAAATCTTAAATTTGTTTAGGATCATGAGCTAAAATTGCTTCTTTCAATCATTGTATAAATTTCAGGATGATAGGACAAACAGTTCTACAGTTATAAGACACACAAACTCTTAATTTTATTATTATAGATAGTAACTAATAAAACAAACAAAGAGAGCGAGAGAACTCACAAACAAAAAAAACATCAAATTTTAATTAACTGCGTTAAAACTAACTAACCTTTTCCTCAACATTTTCTGCACTGCTGGCTTCTGCAACAGCTTTAGCATAAAGAGCTTGTTCAGATAAATCAATATCCAGCTTTGCCAATCTTCTACTTTTTCTTAGTGGCGTAGGATCGACAGGTTTGTGTCTTTAAAATAATGTACTTATTATATTAATGGCCAAGACTGAATAAAGAATAAAGACTTATTGATCTCAAACGAAATACACTTACTTTTTGAAAGTAGAAATTCTTGGCTTAGGTTTAGACTTAGCAATACTTTCAACAGATTTTACGAATTCTTCTTTAATCTATTAAAAAAATCATATTTATTAGATTACGGAATGTGTAATGTTACATAAAATGAATAAACAAAAATATACTTGCCTCATTAATCTTTAAGGATTGCAGGAAGGCCTCCCTTTCTGCTCGATTTTTTTGTGCAAGTCTTTCAAACTCACTTAGTTCATTTTCCTTAAATGAGAAAATACAATTGAAATTTTTCAAAACCAGAAATTTCACATCAAATATTATTAACCATTAATCAAAAAAGGTACGCAGAAAAATTTTTCAACAAAAAATAAGCACCTTTAAAGCACTAAAAAAATATTTTTAAGCACTTTGAAAAATATCATAATTAGACAATTGATGGTTTTATTTACAGTGACGTAGACAATGGGGCATCACAAACGATGAAATTAACAAGAGAAATGAAATTTTCTTTCACTAATAGAGAAAACAAATCGACAATCTTTAGTTGGTTCCTGTAATCAGCAAAAATTAGAGAGATCTTTCAATTCTATTACAGGGGCAGAAAATGAATTCTGAAATTGAGAATCTCTTGCAAAAATGCAGCAGGGTTGCACATGAAAGTAAAAAACCCTTACTACCGAATCCAGCTCAGTATATGCAAGTGCGTACCTGCAGGTAGTTCCTCTAACATGTAAAACAAAGGGTACTTTCATACGCTACAGACCGGCAGTACGCCGAAATAGATTGGGATTGAACTAATTGTGAAAACGTTGAATAGGACAATGTCTTTTTGCATAATATGTGGCAAAAATTAGCGCATTTAAAAATTAAAAACCACAGCGAATGTTTGCGTCTGCAAATGGTGCACCATCTGGGCACTTGTCCTTTCGAAAGATTTTTAAGGCAGCCCTTATTTTAATGACCGGACCTTCACATCATAGGCATTTTATTAATAATTCATCATCATCATCAAAATCTTGGTCCTGTATTTTAATAAATGAAAATATAGTATTTTAAAGTAAAGTTGACTTTTTTTCGCTGCGAAATGCTTGCAGAACATTTGAAAATATTTTGCTTATTGCTTATGGGAGTAGGTTTGGGTATAAGGTACTCTCTGGTAAGTTTTCTCAGATTTATTAAACAAACAAGATGTATCTATAATTATTATTTATGGAGATCTATATTATCTATAATTATTATTTATGAGGAAAAGATGTATGTATCTATAATTAATATTTATGAAGAAAAAGAAACTCAATTATATAAGAAACTAATATATATGTAATTGAAACGTAAGTGTTTTGCTAAATCAAATATTTTTTGTTAACCAAATCGAATAAAATACCATAGAATATTGTGTAAAAACTATTTCTAATAATTTATAGAAAAGAATATGATTTAAGAGTATTCTATATTAAATCTATAAAAATATCAACAGATAATTAAATTACTTTAAAGTTTTATATAGGTCTTAACGCCATTTGTGAGAATAACAATAATTCCTAAATTTGAAAAAATAAATAAAAAAATTGGTGTTTATTGACAACTCAATAGGATATATATGACAGTACAAACTGGAAAATCTTGCCAATAAAGCATTAAAAAGAGAAAACATTTAATCACCTGATTCTCTTTAAAACTATTGTCTGCTTCTGAATCATCTTCCTGCAAGAGAAAAACATGAATTAAAATCTTCAAACAATCAACCTAAAAAACTCATAAGAGTGTATAAAAGCTACTACTCACAGCATCAGAGTAATCAGCTTCATACTTAATCTCCTTCTAAAAATAAACATTACCAGTTAATTAAGAACTCAGTATCAGCAAAGGGATAAAAATAATAATTTTTCCTTAATTTCCTTCAAGAAAACTTCTTGTCAAATGAAATAATTCTTTTCGGCAATCAAGATGCTATTATATTTAAATATAGCTGCCTATTAAAATGGATTCTCCATAGTAATTTATTTTTATATTGAAAGTAGAAATAAAATTTAAGAAAATATTAACATCACCATTATATATAAACAAATAAATTGGATAAATAAATACTAGTTATTGAATACTGAAAGTTTAAGCTCTGGCAGATAAATAAGTTTTTTTAACCTAGTGTTTAAAAATTCTATTAATGTTTTTATTGCTTCCGAAGCAATAGGAAGCAATTCGCGGAATGAGCAAAACTTGGCGGGCATGTACTGAGTACAGGATGCAGCAAAATGTTAACAGGAAGAAGTACTTCAGAATGGTGCAAATATGAATGAAAATAAATTCAGATTTAACTGTGCTCTCACTAAGCACTTCTAGAAAGGGCTGCCAAAATTTTGACCCAGAAAAATACACCTTCCACATAAAAATAGGCTGTCCTCCCTTAAAAACACTACCTTTTAATTTTCTCAGGAATAGGCTGTTTTCTTAACCACCTGTTTTAATGAATAACCCAAATAGAAAAAATTCTCCTTTACAACAGGTAACTAGATATGCAAACTATCTTATCTGCTTTCCAGCAATGTTTTCATATAAATCATTCCAGAAACAAGCAACCTCTTTTATTTTAAACAAAAGAGAATATATATGTCAGTGTATTCATTACAGAAAAATATTGCAGAGAATTTCAGAGTTAAAGAGCAAATTGCAGAGTTAAATGAGATTTCTAAAAATTAAAAAAAAACACAATTAGACTCGGAAAAAAATTTTTTCTTTAATTATAATACATTTTTCACATTTTCTAATTGAATATTTTTGTTGCATCATCATATGGAAAATGTTCTATATCTACTTTTTCATCGGCTATTATATTTATTTGGATGAAAATTATCCGTATTTGTTTTGTTTTGACTGTTTCTACCGACATTCGTTTAATTTTCATTTGCCGTTACGTAGAAGATGTCGCCTCAACAAGGTATTTGTCCATCTTACATTCATGCACAAAAAATGTAACTCTCTTATATGAAGAAACATTACCTATGGGGAACAGGTGGTTGCCGAGAAACGTGTTCCGAAAGGAGTTCAGTGGTTCGGGAGGGTGCTCTGCTGTTCGCACCGGTTCTGAACAATACTGATAAATAGGGAAGCTAGATAACAAGGACTGATGTTCAAAATAATGAAAGATCAAGGAAGAAAAGTGAAACTGATTTTATTCAAAATGGCATAAGACGAAACTTTTTCCAAAATTCATACATTTTGAAATTTATTAATAGAGTGAGTAAACTTCTCGCGTTAATCGTTTTTTATTGTGAGAAAAGAAAAAAATAGGCGAGATTCTCAAGCTGTAGTGAAAACACTGAATGTGGTTTTGAAACTGCCTTTGAAAAACCTTCTGCTTTTACGTCTCTAAAGGATGAAAAAAAAAGGAATTTAGAAAACCAATTAAGATAATCTGTTTTCTACTCTTTTGATACATCAAAATAAATAATTACTCCATGGACACTGGTTACAGTCAATTTTCAGGGATGAGAGTAGTCAGAAAGTAAAAAAGAGGAAATCGAAGAAAAAAGATATATATATATATGCATATATATATAGCACGATATTGAATTTTTAAATCTCGTAAATAAGAATCGCAATGCGCAATTTTTAAATTAAGGAAATACAAAAATTGATGATTGATATTAAAATCGCGTGGATAGAAATCGAGATATTTGCAGAGTCTGGACTTGGGATTTCTAAAAGGCTTGTTTGTATCGTTTTTGTTTAGACATAATAAATAAAAATGTGCAAGATTAATTGAATGAGCAAATAAATATTTTCACAGCAAATACAACCTTATTTTGGTTCTCTCTCTCTCTTTTTTTTCATGCCAGAATACAAGAAGCAGCGACATTAGAATAACGAAAATAGGAGATATCCAGCCGACGGGGAAAAAAATACGGAAAATCTTATTTTCTGTGCGTGAAATCGGAAAAAATAGCCAATATAAGTAAAAATGCGGAAGGGTTAGGAGCTAAGGCGTAGATTGAAATCGTAAATAAATATAATTATTTTACTTCAATGACTCAAATTTTTTTTAAAAAAAAGCGGCATATTTATATATATATAAAAAAAAAAAACGAAACTTTTAGAGAATCGGAGTTTTTGATAAAAAGGCTGAAATTCGAGAGACAAAAAAAATCTCACCCCTGTATAAAGATCAACCAGTTTTATCCCAAGGAAATGATTTTTAGTGAAACTTCAGAGGGAGGAATAAAGACTTCAATAATTTCGCTCCGAGGAAATTAAATTCCTCATAAAATATTTTAACTTGTGCAAAAAACAATTTCAGCGGAAATTAGCGGGAAAAATCTGAAGAAAAAAAACGGAAATCCGCGGAAGAATCTCATCCCTGAATTTTTAACCGAATATTTACCAAATTTTACTGTTTTAAATTAAAATCTTCATTTCAGTATGCTGATTTTTTTAGATTTGTGTTTTTCAAACTTTTTAAAGACCAAAAATGAAAAATAAAATTTAATTAATTGTAATCACTTGCACCCCCTGGCTTTTTGTTAAAAAACAATTAAAGAGATACAGAAAAACAATTTTGTTATAAATCTTTTTTATTAAAAGTATTTTTATTCAAAAACAAATAATTAAGTAATTATTGATACATAACAATTAAAAAATTGTTTAATCAAACAAGAATTGTAATCGTCTTGTTTNGGGGGGGGGGTAGTTTGTAAGAGGGTTGCACTCCATTTTATATTATTCTGCCGGCGCCCTTGTTAATTACGCATTTCAATTAGCAATAGAACCCTCCCACGGATAGCTGTTATGATTTTATTTTCCCGAGGAAAAAGAGCTCTACGAATATGTAGCACGTGTTTTGTCAGATAGCGTGGCGTGGTAAGCATAATCGGTCACTTAAGCCACATTATAGCAAGCTTTTATTGGCAGATTTTTTTTTTTTTTAAATGAAGTATCAAGGATGTCCCGCTGTAAAGTTTAAAGGAAGTCTAAATTTGAACTATAATTTTTTAACATTATTCTAATTTCATTCTAATAGAATATTTTTTCTCTATGAAACTCTTTTCTGTATGACCCAGTTGAAAATGTTCTCATAATGAAGATAACTTTTAGTGCTAGTATGTTGTTTCATTAAATTTAAGTTGAAATTTGACTATGGACAATGATTTTTAAATTTGGATACAATTTTTAAGCTAAAATTTTATGATATCAAAATTGTTTTTTAACATATGGGACAAATATATAGAAATTTACCAATCATAAATGATGTAATTTGTAGAGACAATTTTTGAAAATATCTTCGAATTTTACCATATTTTTGTGTTAATTTTTTAATATTCACAATTTAAGTCTACATTTTCAGAAAATAGGTACATCTTAAAAAAACCTAGACAGACCCCTGCATTGGTAAAACACTGCTAAACATAATGTAGAAATTTAAAGACTTACTTTAGGGCTGGTATTTCTTTGAGACTTTCCTTTTCCTTTCTAGAATAAAGAAAGAAAAATTCTTGCACCAAATGATATTAAGTAACTTCTACATCAATATTTAGCCAGCCATTTATATACCTTTTTTCATCAAGTTATTTTAACATTACTTGAGTGCCAATTATTAGGCCGATAAAAGATAAAAATGGACATAAACAAAACTAATTTACTATTCATAAAGGGATATCATAGAATCAACTACAGTCTGTGCCTAGTTAAGATAGTATTATTTTTACAGAATGAATAATATATAGGTTCATTCACTATAACTGCCAAACATTCTAAACATAGTTTGTATAGTGTTAGATTTCACATAGACATTTCAATACAATATAGATATACAATGTAAGTATTCAAAAAGATTTATGTATTTGCACTCATGTCAAAATGGTCACTAAATTCTGGGGATAACTACTCAATGGTATGCAAGTTAAAAAAGTGAATAAGAAATATCCTCTTGAACTCAAAGAATAAAACTATAACAATAACTTTGAAAGAAACATTGTACAGGTTGACAGGTACTAATATTAAAACATCTACAAATTAAGAGTTTATACAGACAAAAAATTAGAAATAAAATACTGAGCAGAAAAATACATAAGATAATAAAAACACTAGCTTGAAAAATTTAGAAGCAAGATTTCCATATCGTAATTTCCAACAGAATATTCGCGAAATCAAGGCAACATTTTGACATTGACTTTCGAGAAGGTCAATGAATAAAACATCATCGTAGCTCACCAACTCGAAAAGCATAGCCTGTAACCACCCCCAGACAAATCATATGTCTTTATTAAAAATTTTTGCACATTTAAAATCCATTTGACACCTTGGCAATTGTACAGTAAGCCAGATTACAAGAGGAAAATATCCTCCATAAAGTAATCACTGTACAGGGGGATATTTTTGTGTCCCGATTATCATAATTTATTTTTAAAAATAAAACAAGAGGTTTGCTTAAGAGAGGCTACATGTTATACCCTTTAAGTTGGTACTCTTCTGAGATTTATATTTTATTAGTGTCACACAAAAAATTGCCAAGACAACAGCGATAAGCAGGATATGAAACCATTTTTCCTACTGTTAAAACAACACACAGATACACGAATGCTTTTAGCTAAACACATTACAAATTTTAAACTTACTTTAGATTTCATAGAATCTTCAAGTTCTTCTCTACCTCTCTAGAATAAATACAAAATACTTGCGTTAAATAATAACAAGATATCAAAAAAATTGCAAAACAGAAAAATAAAGAACGGAACTTAACTAGCCACTTACATACCTTTTGTCGACGAGTTCTTTCCATTTTTGGAGAATGAGGGGAACTAGCTCTTAATTTATCCTTAGATACAGCTTTTAATTTTCCACTATTATTAACCTTGAAACCTTCATTCACATATAACAATATATCACACAAGGGAACTTCTAATCTGAAGAAAAAGAAAGCTTTTAACACATAGAAAACAAAGACTTGCTATGAGCAGATGTTATATAACAAGGCAATCAGATACATTATATAATCAATTAGGCTCTCACATATAGCTCCTACCTTTTACATGACATCATACTGAGACGAAGTAAAGCCGAACAAAAGACGATTATAACAATGTTAATTTATAAAATGAATTAGAGCTTAAACTTTTGAAAAACCTCCTTACCTCTTTATAGTTGTAAAATTACGAAATAAATCTAAACAAACATTTCGCGCTTTTGGACTCTATAACAGTTACAGTTACTGCAGTCTTTTTCAGTTTTTAAATTCATATTGATAAAATTCATTTTCGAAGATCATTCTCACTGTGTGATGTTTAAGCGCTTCTTTTAATGGTATGCGGAAGTGCGGTATTCGCATGCAATGAGACTGCTCCCTTGCGCAAATATCCGTGCGTAGTGTATCCCTCAGTGGACTGATCGTTAAGACACAGTTCCCAGTAGGACAACGAAGTCAAGTATCACTCGCTGCAGCAGTAAGCGGGTGGGTGACCTCTTAGATCAGTCTGCGTAGGAACCGAGGGTGTGATGTGTAAATTGTTCTACAGCAAGGAACTCGACTTCACGTGCAGTCGCCGGGCTATCAAAGCAGGGGAGCCATCCGCTTTGAAGAGGATCAAAATTGTGATGGCATGTCTTCGGATCATCCTCAGGGATGTTTCTCAGACAGTCGTCAATAGCCCATTGTGCAGTTCTGGTGCGAAGTAAATTAAGTACCTACCGTGCGTAGTGCATCTGATTTTTCGCATACGAACGAGAATGATTGACGATTTCTTTGCGGATACAGGAACAATCACACTAGATGCGAAGCTCTCGTTTTCGAAAAATGTGCGTTCGCTGTGAATGTTCGGTAAAAGTGCGATTAAATCACATGTGAATGAGAACTTGATTAAGGAAAAATGTTTAACCACGAAAATCTCGGCAATCATTTCTCGTCAATACTTATTTGTTTGTAACTTTTTCGTATGCAAAAAAGAAAGTAAATAAACAAAATAAAATAAAGTAGATGTTGTTGTAGTTAATTTACGTCGAACTACATCTACGCGATAGGCTATTGGCGACGGTCTGGGAAACACCCCTGAGGATGATCCGAAGACATGTCATCACAATTTTGATCCTCTGCGGAGGGGATGGCATCCCCGATTCTGTAGCCCAACGACCTGCACGTGAAATCGAGCACTTGACGGTAGAACAGTTTAACGAGGATCAATACCGCAACCCTCGGTCCCTACGCAGGCTGATCCAAGTGGTCACCCACCCGCGCACTCACCGTAGCCAGTGATGCTTGACTTCGGTGATCTGCTGGGAGCCGTGTCTTAACGATCAGTCTACTGCGGGACTAAAATGAAGTAGAAAAGAGAATGGCTGGTTCACAGTGCAAAGCTTAGTACAGATGGCACAAGGGGTTAAAATTCGTCGTAAGACTTCCGCGTTACTACTGAAGCGTGGAAGTGACGGGTTCGAATCTTTCGCGATGTTTTTCGTGTTATTCTTTTACTTGACAAAGGTTTATAAGCCTAAAATGAGCACACAAGCCTGCAAATGTATGTAATTTAAAAAACGCAATAAACCGGGCTACTACTTTCGATTGATTTTTACGCCTGAGCTTGAAAAAGCCATCCATCTAACATTATTATGCTTTAGTGCTCAGATTATGACGCGTTCTTTCAATTTAAATTTCAACGAAACGAATTTGAAAAAACCCAGAAGCATGCTATGAGTCTATCCAAAAAAAAAAAAAAAAAAAAAAAAAAAAAAAAAAAAAAAAAAANAAAAAAAAAAAAAAAAAAAAAAAAACAGTGGTATTGTAAAGTAATATAGCCAAATAAGGTATAACATTCGAAACATAGCAAACCTTACACTTTATTTCTGCTGTGATATTAATTTTCTTAAATTTGTTTTAAGCTCACGTTCTGTTAGAATTTATAAATTACAGCAAACTCTTATGAATCACAAAATTAAGTGTAAATTTAAACACAAATCACAATAATGAAACTTCTTAGTCCATTACGTTTGTTCACACATCGCTTCGTAAGCATAACATAAGCGGAGGGATATACCGGAAGTTTTCTTAATTTTTTTCCCAGTTTTAGGAAGCTTTTTATTGTTTACATTCAGTCAACCATCCATTAAAAATTAGTCACCAATCTCTGTTTCAGATTCGTATGCAGAGAGAATGGTTTTGAATCCTGTGAGATTTTGAGATAAATTCCTTCCCCTTCAGATCTATGTCTTAACCGAGGAATAAGTGACTTTAAATGAGCTCCTCTCTGCACAGGATCAAAATTGTGATGGTACATCCTCGGATCCTCCTCAGATATGTTTCCCAGATCATCGCCAATAGTCCATTCTGCTGCTCTAGTGTGACATAAATAAAGTACCTTCCTACATATAATTTTTGACCTGAAGATTTTGCAAATCAAAGGGGCATATCTCGTTTTTTTTGTCATGAGCGTGCATCGCCAAGCTAACATAATAAATAGTACAACCCTAGAGCAGTACAGCAGAACGTTTTTTGCAGTGTTGCGGCGTGTACTTAAATATGAATAAAGTTTTGTTTTCATCAATTTAATTAAATCTTTGGACAATCTAATATGGTTAATCAACTAATTATTCCATGAGGGCATTATCTGAGAAAAGTGCCAATTTGATAAAATTTTTTCAATTATTAATTTAATTTTTGTTGTTATTAACTTTTTTCTCAAAATCACAATATTTTACTTTTATTCAGTTTTCGCCGGAAAAAAGGGGGAAATTTGCTATGGACTATATTTTAAATGTTTTTCTTTGGCAAATCTTTATATTCTTTTTCAGAACCCTAATGCTTAAAATTAAAGCAGAACATTTTCCTCTTACTTTTGGCTACACAAATTGTGCACCATTTCCAGCTCCAATTATAAGAGGAGTTCTTTTCTAAAAAGTAATAAATTTAGTGGGAACAGGGCTGAAACCCTTTACAGGTCAGAAAAGATAGTTTAGGAAAGTAGTACGCAAGCCTAAACCCAGTTATCTCCAGATCTTTAGATACGTTTATTTAAATTAAATTTAATCAGTTGTGTGCGTGTGTTTGAAAATCTTTTTGAAAATCGTTCTCCGAATCGATTTCACCCCAATTGTAACCTAGAGCGAATAAACAAGGGGAAAAAGAAAAAAAATAAACCCTCTCCACCGAGGTAAGGATGACATTCGTTGATTGAAAGTAATCATTTTCTAAATATTTAAATTAATGCATTGAGTCACACTTAATTTATTTACATCCGACTGACATATGAAAAATTGTTACTATGTTCTTGACGTATGGAAATTAGGCAGAGGGGTTGCGATTGTTCTTGTTTTCCAGTGGAGTGGTGCCATGTATGGCCAAGAATTCGACTTCTGCCACACTCATACGTCACACCCGTTTATAGGGCGAACCCATTCATACATCCATTCATTCATCCACAGATCGTAATTTAGACCTAAATCAGAGAATCATCAATCTCCAATCCAGTACCCCCAGAGGTATTGATTTGTTATGGGAACATGGAGGACTTTGAGACTCGACAGATTTAACGTGCATCAGTCACAATTTCTACACGGGGAGTCTTCGGCTGGCAGGGATCGAACCCACGACCCCTTGGACATGGGCCCAGTGCCCTACCAACCAGGTCATCCCGGCCAATTGTTACTATAATAGTAAGGATTGAAGGGAAGCAGTCAAGCCCCTTTTGCCTAAAAATCTAATAAATTAAAAAATGTACTTTTATAATTGTAGAAGGTTTAATTTTTCTTTCTGCGATTATAATTTTTATTAACTACATTATGATATAACGACATCAGTTTTAATTTTATTGCTGTGAATAACTGGTTTGAATTTTGTAAAATATTAGTGCAACAATACAGCAATTTTTTTTGATCGCTTATATTGCATGTAGTTTAAGAGATTAAGATTTTTTATTTTTATTATGATTTTTTTACAATCTAAGTTTACATACTTTTGATTATGAATGATAAAGAGATAGAGAATGGAGGTAGCATCGATCGCTTTTAAGCATATTTTCTTCAATAGATTTCATAAATTGGTGTTTTTTACTTATAATCTAAGTTTACATACTTTTGATTATGAATGATAAGGAGATAGAGAATAGAGGTAACATCGCTTTTAAACATATTTTCCTCAATAGATTTCATAAATTGGTGTTTTCAACTTACAATCTAAGTTTACATACTTTTGATTATGAATGATAAAGAGATAGAGAATGGAGGTAGCATCGATCGCTTTTAAGCATATTTTCTTCAATAGATTTCATAAATTGGTGTTTTTTACTTATAATCTAAGTTTACATACTTTTGATTATGAATGATAAGGAGATAGAGAATAGAGGTAACATCGCTTTTAAACATATTTTCCTCAATAGATTTCATAAATTGGTGTTTTCAACTTACAATCTAAGTTTACATACTTTTGATTATGAATGATAAAGAGATAGAGAATGGAGGTAGCATCGATCGCTTTTAAGCATATTTTCTTCAATAGATTTCATAAATTGGTGTTTTTTACTTATAATCTAAGTTTACATACTTTTGATTATGAATGATAAGGAGATAGAGAATAGAGGTAACATCGCTTTTAAACATATTTTCCTCAATAGATTTCATAAATTGGTGTTTTCAACTTACAATCTAAGTTTACATACTTTTGATTATGAATGATAAAGAGATAGAGAATGGAGGTAGCATCGATCGCTTTTAAGCATATTTTCTTCAATAGATTTCATAAATTGGTGTTTTTAACTTACAATCTAAGTTTACATACTTTTGATTATGAATGATAAAGAGATAGAGGATAGAGGTAACATACCTTTTAAACATATTTTCCTCAATAAATTTCATAAATTGGTATTTTTAACTAGATAAATGGTTTTTCGACAGTGGATTTAAAAATATTTTTTGTTTCAAAATACAGTCCTTTTTGGCCTAGGCAGAGAGAGGTTTTTAAATTGTTTGAATAAACTATTTCTACAAAGTAGCATTCAAATCAGAATAATTAGGTGATTTCATTGATTATCGAATGTGATACCATTGATTTATCAGCTTGGAAAGGCTTGCGAGAATTCTTTTCGTTTTATACACACACACGTTTTAGAGCTATGATAATTTTTTAAATCTAATTATTTCTCAAAATAGACAGTTTTTTATCATTACCTTTGCGTACAATATACACCGAAGAGCCATTACATTATGACCACCCTGCTAATAAC